AATATTCGAAAAAAGTAATTTTTTGTCCTGGATATGAAGCTGGTAAACCAAGAAGCGATTTAGGAAAAATTCGTGTTGAATTACGTAGTGTGCCAAAAAGTTACATAGAACTTGAGGAGGATGATTACGCCACGATAAAATTTGAATTTGATGGTAAATTAAAAGATCAAACAGGAGCTTTTGGCTGGGGTTTACCTCCACCAAATCCAGTGAAAGTTACTACATATGGATATCCAGGTAATGGTGACTTGAATTGCCCTAGAAACACGAAAACCTGTTGCTATTGGGTAGGTGATGCAACTCAAAAAGACGCGCTTGGGATACCTGAACTAACTGCATGGCATGTTCCTGTAAATCTTGGAAAGGGTGGAAGTGGAGGCCCTTGGGTAATAAGAGTTGCGTCAAATCATATTGGTTTTTTGGTTAGTGTAACAGGATATTTCTTTGGAAATGATGGATCATTTGCGGATATATTAAATTTTACACTCATTAAAGAATTAATAGATTGGCCATCAAATTAAACTAAAATTAGGACACCAAGAGTATTTACATATAAATCTATCAACGTTAAACAAACCCATTTTGACGTACTTAATTAGACATAGAAATTAGACATAGAAGTTTTATATATAATGCACTCTAACCCGAAAATACTGATATCACATGTTAGTAATCAAGTTTTTTCAAATTTTGGAGTATTTTACAAATACGACGTAATGTTTATTGCTTTGTGAAAAATTATGAAATTTTTTTTTCGGTTGAATTTTTTTCAAAATCGATAATTAACGAACCTAGGCCTTTTATATACCTTTATAACCTGTGGATTTGTTATTTTATATAATATGTCATTATATAGATAGACAATTTTCATTTTTATTTTGTTTAATAAAGTAATTAGATACATATTGATTTACATGCTGTATAAATTGTATTCTCGGTATTTATATATGTTGTGGGTGGAATTTTAAGGTTAAGGTTTAAGTTTATATAAAATAAATTATACCTTAAAATAATAATTTTATTAAAAAATCCCATAACTACTTTAAGTCCGTTCCACACGTACAACATACATAAATAATAACACTAATTACATCAAAAAAGTAACTCTAACACGGCTTTAATAGAGAACCAAGTATTTGAATATTTGAATGACAGTACAAAGTACATAAGGAATAAATTATATTGATACATATAGTTGATTTTATTAATTCTATTCATTATTTTTAATATTTATTTATTAACTACATGCACTATTTTTAGCATTTATTTATTAATTCTATGCACTATTTTTAGCATTTATTGACTAATTTAAACAGATCAGATAATTTGGATTAACTGCAGATATTTGTATTCGTTAATTTTTGGAGGATAGATCCGTAAGTCATAATCTGTAAGTTATAATTCGTAAGTCATAATCCTAAATAAACTTTGACAATCGGCTCATTTGAGTCAATTAATTGGGTTATAAATAATAACCAAAAAATCTTCGCTAGCGTTTTCCCTTTATCCTGGACATTCAGATAAATCAGTAGTGTTCTGCAAAGAGTAGTGTTCATTACTTTTTTTTTATTTTAGAATCAAGTTAACAATACTTCGAGAACGTAACATTTCCACTAGTAAAAATAAATATAAAAGCAATTTCTAGTTTAAGCATTATTAAATTATGTAACCCCGTGATCATAGATTTTTTTCTTCTTGTTATTTTTGTACGTTATTACGTAAGCACAACAATTTCAGTTAGCCAACCACGACTCATAAATCATGATCATGCGATGATAAATATCACAAAATTTGTTCTGTCGGAGCAAATGATTGGCCGAAACGTGCCGTTACGCGGCACATGTCAGCCAATCATTTGCTCCGACAAAACAAATTTCATGATATTAATCATCGCATGACCAATATCTTATACTTACTAAATTTATTAACCAGACTATACTGCTTTATATAGGACTTATATTAAAATATTATCAGTTCGAAAAATTTTGCCAAACGCTCAGGTGTTAGCTGTAGGATAAGTATTATACGTGATACTAAATAACTTCTATGTAACAATCATGCAGAAATCACAAACTTAATCGAATCGACCGGTGCATTATTCGGTCAATTTTTTTATCATTTTTATCAGGTGTTTCAAGAATTATGAAAATCGAAATTAATAGACTGAATTTTCATGTAGCCAAAGTCTTTAGTTTCTAAAGCTTTCTTGAAAAAGCATTTTGTTCAGATGATTTCAAGTTCTTTAATTAACCTTCGAATCAGTTAAATCACAAGGCATTATAATTATAAAATTATGTTGAGTTTAAACCTATTGGTAACTTATCAGGTACAAGAATGACTTATAACTGTAATAGCTATATACTAATCCGTTATCCATTTTAAAAATTTGAAAATTAGTGTGTATTAATGATGACTTCCCGAAATAATACAAATTTCAATTGATAAAAATCGGCCAAAAATGGGAATACTAATAGAATGATTTATCTTTATGATAAAGATTACTATTAATATGAAACTAGGAAAGGATTCCTAGAACGGATTTACATATTTATCGTAGACCTAATTGTATGTAACTTTAAAAAAACTATTTTTACATGGTGTCCATGCCAATTTGTAAACCTTTAGGTCTAATGCTAACCTGAAACTGGCAATTAGAAGAGATGATCATATATAACTCATTGTTGTTGATCAAACATTAAAAAACGATCCACATTATGAGATATCAGAACATGATCTTAATTTGTTAATTTATTTTGATTATTGATTTGTAACCGATGCAAAAACATTGTTTTTGACTCACTCAACCGATTTTTATTAACCCACCCTAAAAAAAAATACACCGTTTTGACTTATGTGATGTTCTATGATTATATGGGTGCTCGCGACCATAATTGCATAATCTGTAATAAATTAAGGGAACGCCTATTTCCACCATGGACATTTGCTATTTCCGCCATGCTGCCATACTCAATTATTAATTGACAAATGTTATTTTTCCATTTGAAAATAACATACGTTTTAGGGAACCACCATGAAATCATGCTTATGTAGCTGAAACTCATGGTGGAAATAGGCGTTCCCTAAATTAAAAGTATATTAAAGTTTTTATAAGTTAAATTCGAATGTAAACGAAAATGATGTAATGATTAATCTTTTATTCTTAAAAAGAAGATAACGAAATATACACCGTAAAACATAGCTATAGAGAGGCCCATACAATTGTTGCTAAATCACGACATTAAATACATACTGTACTACAGCAAAAAACGTCTTTAAGTTAAACTCTAATAAGAACTGCTATCATCTGAATTTGTGAAATAAAATCTAGAAATACAATTCAAAACTGTATTAATTCTTCACACAAGATGGCTTCCTCTTCTTTCTGTATCGGTAATGGTGTTGTTCAATTACCATTTGGGCGAGCTGTAGAGCATTATTTATATTCACTTCTTCTATCACAAAACATCCGTTATAAAGTTCAAAGCCGAGAACGAGTTAATTGATCAATAAAACAAGGACTTGTGTAGTTGAACGTAACATGCACCGGTCGAAGTGTCTAAAATCAATGCAGGATCATATTATATTCAATATGGTTAATTGGTTGCTGATATACCGAATGTATACTGGTTATTGTCGGCATTCTGCCAGCAGTTAACCACTATTCAGCAAGTTAGCTGCTGAGTGTTGGT